AGATTTTCGCAATTTTCAGGAATAATTGCGATTTTTGCAATTTTCAGGAATTTTTGCAATTTTCAGGAATTTTTGAGATTTTCGCAATTTTCATGAATTTTTGCAATTTTTGCAATTTTCAGGAATTTTTGCAATTTTCAGAAATGTCTTCAATTTTCAGGAATTTTTGCAATTTTTGCAATTTTCAGGAATTTTTGCAATTTTTGCAATTTTTGCAATTTTCAGGAATTTTTGCAATTTTCAGAATTTTTTTTAAATTTCAGGAATTTTTGCAATTTGCAATTTCCAGGAATTTTTGCGATTTTCGCAATTTTCAGGAATTTTCGCAATTTTTGAGATTTTTGCAATTTTCAGGAATTTTTGCGATTTTTGCAATTTTCAGGAATTTTTGCAATTTTCAGGAATTTTTGAGATTTTCGCAATTTTCATGAATTTTTGCAATTTTTGCAATTTTCAGGAATTTTTGCGATTTTTGCAATTTTCAGGAATATTTGCGATTTTCGCAATTTTCAGGAATTTTTGCAATTTTCAGGAATTTTTGAGATTTTCGCAATTTTCAGGAATTTTGCAATTTTTGCAATTTTCAGGAATTTTTGCATTTTTTGCAATTTTCAGGAATTTTTGAGATTTTCGCAATTTTCAGGAATAATTGCGATTTCTGCAATTTTCAGGAATTTTTGCAATTTTTGCAATTTTCAGGAATTTTTGCAATTTTCAGAATTTTTTTTAAATTTCAGGAATTTTTGCAATTTTTGCAATTTCAGGAATTTTTGCGATTTTCGCAATTTTCAGGAATTTTCGCAATTTTTGAGATTTTTGCAATTTTCGGGAATTTTTGCGATTTTTGCAATTTCAGGAATTTTTGCAATTTTCAGGAATTTTTGAGATTTTCGCAATTTTCATGAATTTTTGCAATTTTTGCAATTTTCAGGAATTTTTGCGATTTTTGCAATTTTCAGGAATATTTGCGATTTTCGCAATTGGGAATTTTTGCAATTTTCAGGAATTTTTGCAATTTTCAGGAATTTTTGAGATTTTCGCAATTTTCAGGAATTTTTGAAATTTTTGCAATTTTCAGGAATTTTTGCGATTTTCGCAATTTTCAGGAATTTTTGAAATTTTTGCAATTTTCAGGAATTTTTGCGATTTTCGATATTTTCTGGAATTTTTGCAATTTTTGCAATTTTCAGGAATTTTTGCGATTTTTGCAATTTTCAGGAATTTTTGAGATTTTCGCAATTTTCATGAATTTTCAGGAATTTTTGCAATTTTCAGGAATTTTTGAGATTTTCGCAATTTTCAGGAATTTTTGAAATTTTTGCAATTTTCAGGAATTTTTGCGATTTTCGCAAATTTCAGGAATTTTTGCAATTTCTGCAATTTTCGCAATTTTCAGGAATTTTTGCAATTTTCAGGAATTTTTGCGATTTTCGCAATTTTCAGGAATTTTTGCAATTTTCAGGAATTTTTGAGATTTTCGCAATTTCCAGGAATTTTTGAAATTTTTGCAATTTTCAGGAATTTTTGCGATTTTCGCAATTTTCAGGAATTTTTGAGATTTTCGCAATTTTCAGGAATTTCTGCAATTTTTGCAATTTTCAGGAATTTTTGCGATTTTCGCAATTTTCAGGAATTTTTGCAATTTTTGCAATTTTCAGGAATTTTTGCAATTTTCAGGAATTTTTGAGATTTTCGCAATTTTCAGGAATTTTTGCAATTTTTGCAATTTTCATTAATTTTTGCGATTTTTGCAATTTTCAGGAATTTTTGCAATTTCCAGGAATTTTTGCGATTTTCGCAATTTTCAGGAATTTTTGCAATTTTTGCAATTTTCAGGAATTTTTGCAATTTTCAGTAATTTTTGCGATTTTCGCAATTTTCAGGAATATTTGCGATTTTCGCAATTTTCAGGACATTTTGCAATTTTCAGGAATTTTTGAGATTTTCGCAATTTCCAGGAATTTTTGCAATTTTTGCAATTTTCATTAATTTTTGCGATTTTCGCAATTTTCATGAATTTTTGCAATTTTGGCAATTTTCAGGAATTTTTGCGATTTTCGCAATTTTCAGGAATTTTTGCAATTTTCAGGAATTTTTGAGATTTTCGCCATATTCAGGAATTTTTGAAATTTTTGCAATTTTCAGGAATTTTTGCGATTTTCGCAATTTTCAGGAATTTTTTCAATTTTTGCAATTTTTGCAATTTTAGTAATTTTTGCAATTTTCAGGAATTTTTTCGATTTTCGCAATTTTCAGGAAATTTTGACAGTTTGTTTTTGGTTTTCAAAGTGGGGGTTGGGGGTAATAATTCCTCCCCGATTATATTTTTGCCAATATATTTAATTCGAATGGGTTGCTGTAGGTGGATATTTGTGTTTTATCCTGGTTTTTGCTTTAAAACTTCGTTTTTCCATAATAAAATCGAATGGGGTGCGAAGAAGGGCTCAGTTGACGACTGGCATCCTTTTTTCAACCGGAAGCCCTTCAAAAAACAGCAAAATCGGCTCAATGATGATCTAAAACTAAAATCGAAATACGCGGTCGCCTTATAGCCTTATAGCGCTATAAGCGCTTGTCGTTTCGTGACGTCACCCACGGAGCATGCAGGCCTTGTTGTATCGGTGGTAACGGAAAAATCCACCGGGACCCAATTTACCTTAAAAATTTGCCTTTGTGGAGATGACATCGAGCATTCCTTCTTTCCTTTGGAAAATTTCACTCCACTTTGAGCAATATGGACTTCTTCCAAAGATTAACTAAAAATATATTTTGTAGGTGCAAAGGAAAAAGGTACTTTGAATGCCCTGATAAGTATGGGGCCTTTGTGAAGCCTGTCAACGTTCTGTGTGGTGATTTTCCTGAAGAAGATTATGATTTGAATGAGGAATTTTGAATTGTTTAACCAGAGAAATATTTGAAAATAACACTGTGCTTTCATTAATTTATTGATTATTATATTATAACCTTTTTTTTACATGAAAATTTATGAGATCTCACTTGGATATAAAATATAATGTATATAAGAAATTTAATAGTGGATTTATTGAATACTTGATGAACTATTTGCAAACACAGAATTGGGAAATTATACGTTTTGCAATAAAAGTTCTACTTTATGTTGTCATAAACCTTCTTACAAAATAGAACAGGATGTTGATGTCATGATTTAAACTAGTTAGTGAACTGTGATGGTAAGAGATGACTAAATTATTATTCATCATTCCATTCTTACAACTTTTTTCCGTTGATGGATTTTATCTGCCAGGAGGTATATTTTTTCGATGGTTTCATATTTGAACCCGTGAAAATAAAATTTGAATATATCAAATTCTAGAGTTTCCGTCCAACGTAACAAATGATACTGCCGAAGAAATTCAACATGCTATTTGCAAGATTTCTACCAAAGAATTGGAGGCTTCTGCAAACGCTACTATAACGAGACAATTAAAAGGAGTATGTACCACAAGTGAGTGAAAATATTTGGCCCAGTGAATTATTTTTGACAAAAAAAACACAAATATTCAATGTATTTCAATTCACATTTGGAGTGGATGCGGGATCATGAAACATCTCATGTGTTATTTGTATTTTTCATCATATCAACTAAACATTTTATTCAATTTATGCCAAAGCCTTTGAAACCCTTCCATATACAGGGTGAGTCATGAGGAACTGTATGTACATACTCCTACCATGAATAGAGGACCCTGAGGGGAATACCCAATGTGAATCAGAAAGCGTCTTCACTTCTTTTCTAATATACAGGGTGTCCTTAGACCAGTGGGACAGTTGAATATCTCCTGAACCAATAGGAATTTTCAAAATATTATAATTTCACATCATATCGCATTAGGAGTGCTAACTTCAGGAATGACTACCCAGCAAACATTTTGATATGGGGCATCAATGGCCTAATATATTTTTCCCATACCTGACATCAGCGGCCTAGTAAATGGTCCCATATGCGGGACTCTATATATCAGTACACTGCGGCCGGCAGCTGGTCCCAGTGCTGGGTACCCAGCAATCATATTCATTTCCCCGGCAAAAGGCCAGTACAACATAATCGACACATTTAGTTTCCCATAGCAAGCCCAGCATATACATAAATGATGGGACTGTAATGGCCAATTAACGACATTGTTTACATACTATCGAGGTAGGGTAGGGGTAGGGGTTTTAGGGGTCCAATGGATCTGATAGTTCTGATACCTCTTTATTTCACAATATAACCCTCTCATCATGAATCAGACACATACCAGATTTCCAGAAAATAATTTTATGAATGACACAATGATCTATATTCTTAACCTCACTGTTCTTCAACGATGAAACTTGGTGGTGGTATTCACATCTTATTGGGTAGCATTCCCTCAAAGTTGATTCTTCGTTGTGAGCTACTTCTGAAATATAAAATGCATCATTGGTTTTATTATTTCTCATTATTTTCTTGGCACAGGTATTTCTGTAGCTGAAACCTCATTGTTATTTAGTTATTTGATATAGAGATAGGTTCACATAACCTGAGATTGCTTTTGATTGCAACAAACGAGTTAAAAATGATAGTTGCTTTTGGAGGAGTATAGCTTCCAATTATTATGATCATTAGGTATATGAGGTTACAAGATGCCAAACACATGCATTTAATAATTGATTTCGAAACACTATGTAGGTAGATTGATACTCACTCGATATTATCAAAATTGAAGAATGCGTCTTCTATTATTATCAATTAAGAATACTCCTGCCATCATAAATAACCACCAGGGAAAGAGAGGACCACATTTATTCGACATAAACAAACTAGTACGCGATCACCACTCACAAGAGTCAGCCATCTTAGTCACATATTATATTGATCAGCTGTTTGTTGATGTAGACCTTCCCAGAACGTCCACCAGGGGGACGAGTAACAAACATGAATTTGGCCAGCAAAGGGCCAGATCTCGTTAGTATTCAATTAGTTCCAGACATCTTACCATTACAAGGCCATCATCGTATTTTTAACTGATGGTTACTTGGCATAGGGGAATCATCAGCCCATCACCAATACCCCGGCGCCGTCACTTTCCCAGACTAGCCTGCACTAGGCCGGACTTCTCCCGCTAGTTCAATGTTTGATGGGTATATTTTCTACGGGGGGCGCAAGAAAGGCTCACAAAATCAAACATCGATTTTTTCAAATGGAACACCCTGTATTTCATTGCATTTTCATATTCTCCTTGAAGAGCTGAATTCAACGACCTAGCATACTTGGAGTCTAGCGGGAATGATTTCCGGGATATAGGGTGTGGAAAATCGAGGTTTTTCATTTTTGGGAATTTTTTGTGTCAAAACTTTTCATTATTGGTCAAAACGGCTTACATGTCCATATCTCAACTTTAATAATTACACAGAAGAAAATTCTGAAAATCTGAAATTCTGAGCTTGTTTTTGAAAATAATTCTATGCAATTATATATTTTTGGAAGCCCACTTCATGCTTAATGAATATATGAAATAATATACAGGGTGTTCCATTTAAAAAAACATATGCTTGCTCCATAAGTAAAAAAACAAAAGGTGCTAGCCACTGGATTCTACGAGAAAAACTCTATAAGAACAAGTTTTAACTTCTTCGATAAGAGATAACTGAGAAGTGATATTTTTCAATTCCACCCTGTATCTCGACAACCGGAAGAGCTATCACAATTCTGCTTGCGCCATTATTAATTTCATAAAAAAGTAGCACACTGTCGCGAAAACCGCAATTCTCTATCTTTACTGATAAGGGAGATACCCCGCTAAAGTGCCCAAATTGGGATACCCTGTACAGTTCCTCATGACTCACCTTGTATCTCAAAAATATTGCTGCATACTTGAATCATTTTGTATAACAGTTTATATAGATTCTTCTTCCAGTGTTGTCATTTCAGATGAGTTGAATCGACGATTAGATAATTTAGAAAATCGAATTCTACAAGAAATTGATAGCTTGAAGCAAATTTTGCTATCGAAGGGGCGGGGAATCCCAGAGACAAAGACAGACAGTTCACTTTTGAGCAGCCGTTTTGCCGCAAAATATCTAAAAACCGAACGATCATCAATAACGTCCGACAGAAATGAAGAGATCGCCCTGTATAACGATACTGTGAGCGAATCGAACAAAGGCAGCATCTATTTTTATTACTGGAATGTACAAAATGTTCGAGAGCTTTTGGAAAAAGAGGACATGTACATATCCAGTCCAGAATTTAATATTTTAGGTATGTATTTATGTATACCGGGTGACCATGAAATCATCGGACAGGGAGTCATTCAGTTGTTTTTTATGTCAGACTTTTAATATTTGGATTGAAGATATACAGTTCCTTAGAACCCATATTTTCTATGAAGAAACAATTGGAAATTAGTTCCGGTCAGGTCATTTTTATTCATCATCATTTTTATTCATCACCAATCAGGATTTCTATTGAATTTTTTCACAAATTTTGAACAGAAAATTGTACTTGCACAGCCCCCTGATTTTGAATAGGGATGAGGATGTTGGGATACCTATCATTATGAAGATTTCATCGAGTACTATCAGACCCTCTAATTTCGCGTCAAAATAAATTTTCATTGATAACAAAATGAGAGATAAATAGTGGGAAAAAAATTATCTTACAAGTTTTATAAGACGCTATTTTGTCGCACGCGTTGCTTGGAGTAAGACGAGCGAAGACAGGAGTGCTCCAAAAAACTAGTGCCACAATATGTCTTAAAACCTGTATAATATACTATTGTTTCTATCTTCCATTCATATTTACTATTACTTTTTAAAAAAATCATCAATAAAACATCGAATATTACAAAGATATATGAAGTATAGCTGGTAACAATAAAAAAACATTTGAATGTTCATTCCCAAATTTGACAGACAATTATTTAAATTAACATCATTATTCTAGTAATATAATTTGAAATTGTTGGTCTATCAAAATTATGTTTTTCCCCTTCCTGTTCACTATAATATGACTGTTATTTTGAGATATCTCAATGATATACAGGGTGTTATTTAAGTACGTGGCCAAACTTGAAGGGGTGATTCTTTGAGTGATTCTAAGACGAAAAGTTCATATAAACATAGGTCCGGTAATGCTTTGTTTTCAAGATACAGGGTGTCAACATTTTTAAAAGAAATCGTTTTTTTCGTAAATATCTTAATAACCCTTTAACCGATTTTATTGAAATTTGGCAGTGTTATTCAAAGTCGTGAAGGGCTAATTTAACCCTAACTATATCAAAATTATCATGTCCAGTGGCGTCCCGGAAGGCACTGTAACCAATATTTTTGACAGAAAAAATGTGGGCCACTGATTTTTTTTGCAATTTTTGTATTTGTTTCACATTGAGCAACTGAAATGACAACTTTTTTATATCCAGAATTTTGTTCGTATCTTGCTTTGTTTTTGAGAAAAAACATAAAAATCACTTCATTACACATCCCTGTGACGAGCCGAAGGCAAGTGCTGCAATTCATACATACATATTTTTTGTTTTTTCATTGCATTAATTTTGATAAAAAATTCCAAGACTAGAATAGAGTATTAATAAATATGTAAAAATATTAGTAAGACCCCAGTTTTTGATGGTTTAGTAGTTGAAATGTTTTATTGTGTTGTCACAGGGATGTGCAATGAAGTGATTTTTATGTTTTTTCTCAAAAACAAAGCAGGATACGAAAAAAATTCTAGAAATGAAAAAGTTGTAATTTTAGTTGCTCAATGTAAAACAAATACAAAAATTGCAAAAAAATCAGTGGCGCACATTTTTTCGGTCAAAAATATTGGTTACAGTGCCTTCCGGGACGCCACTGGACATGATAATTTCGATATAGTTAGGGTTAAATTAGCCCTTTACGACCTTGAATAACACTGCCGAATTTCAATAAAATCGGTTGAAGGGTTATTAAGATATTTACGAAAAAACGATTTCTTTTGAAAATTTTGACACCCTGTATCTTGAAAACGAAGCATTTCCGGACCTATGTTTATATAAACTTTTCGTCTTAGAATCACTCAAAGAATCACCCCTTCAAGTTTGGCCACGTACTTAAATAACACCCTGTATAAGTTTTGTTCACTATTTGTAATTTCAATTATACAACAGTCGATAATACTTCATGAATGCTCTTATATCAGGAATTACTGTCTGATCATTCATGTCATTTCTACTAGAAAATTAATTATACTTTATGTATTATTTGTATGAAATGTATCAATGAAAAAGATAATGTAATGCAATAACTGAAAAAAATGAACAGAGCTTGCCGAAATATCATGCAATTTATAAGTATATGTGATATTTTAAATGAATCGATTTTTGACTCGATTCAAATCAAAACCCTAGAAAATCGATTAAAATTAAGATTTAGGTAAAGATTAATTGATTCTCAGAAATCGATTCACCTCACAAACCTCGACAAATTTGAAGAAAAATATATATTATTTTTCAGATAAGGTATATTACGAGATAACTTGAGGAATATGATCATGAATGCAACAAAAAATTATATAATTTTATGAAAAATGATAAAATATAAAAATAAATTCCCAATAACAAAGGTAAGAGTGATTCACCATGAATTTCCCGCCCTCTACTTCAGTTATTTTTAAACCGATTTCAAAATTTGAAATATCTACCTGAATGATTTTCGATAAAGTTTTTTCCCGCTACATCAGAAAATACAGGGTGCTCGGAACAAACGATCTACAGGGTCCTATTTGATTTTTTCATATGGAACACTCTATTTTTCATTGTATTTTTAGATTCTCCCAGAAGAGCTGATTTGGTCGATGTATCACACTTGGGGTCTAGCGGGAATGATTACAGAGATATAGGGTGTTCAAAATCGAGATTTTTCAACTTTAGGATTTTTTTGAGACGAAACTATTCATCATCGGTCAAAACGACTTTCATGTCCATATCTTAACTTTTGATTTACTATCTACTGACGTTTGATAATTGGAACAGATACAGGGTGATCAGAATTCTGAATCTTGAACCACCCTGTAAATGTTCCAATTAAATGTCAGTAGACAGTGAATCAAAAGTTAAGATGGAAACACAGATGCCGTTTCGACCAATAATGAAAAGTTTCGAGACAAAAAAATCCTAAACTTGAAAAATCTCGATTTTGAACACCCTATATCTCTGTAATCATTACCGCTAGACCCCAAGTGTGGTACATTGATGAAATCAGCTCTTCAGGAAGAATCTAAAAATACAATGAAATACAGGGTGTTCCATATGAAAAAATCAAGTAGTACTCTGTAGATCATCTGTTCCGAGCACCCTGTATTTTCTGATGCAACGGGAAAAAAATTCTGAAAAATCATTTTAGATTATTTTTCAAATTTTTGAATCGCTTCAAAAATAAGTGAGCTAGCGGGGGGGACATTTATGGTGAAACACCCTGTACATAAGGAACATAATTATTATATTTTCTCAGTCATTACGATATGAGAAGTTCGAGATCGATCTTACAAAAAAATCGATTGAATAATCGATTTTTTCGGGCGAATAAGATCGATCGATGTTTGCGGACGAAAAGTTAAATTGTCTACGAACGAAAAGTACTTGCCTTTGGTTTTTCGTTCGGAAAGTAGAACGTAAAATGTGATTTTTTTACGAATCCCACTCTACTAAGGATAATATTTTCGAGGTGAATTCGACATTGCCCTTTTCAGATTTCGTTATCGATGAAAATTTATTTTGACGCGAAATTGAAGGGGCGGATAGTACTCGATGAAAACCTTCAAAATATGGTATCGCAACACCCCTAATACCTACCCAAAATCCGGGAGTTGTGCTTCCCCCTGGTAGAGGGATGAAGAAAACAGACAAATCGTCATCCCTAGAATCAGAATCGAGGGGTCCGACTGTTATTCCGGATTTTCAATTTAAACCCTCAAACGTTTTGATTGAACTACCCTGTATAAAAAAGGTATTCCAAAATTCATTGAAATAATAAAGGGAGACTCAAACAGACGCTATAACCACAGTTGAGAGAATATACAGGGTGTTTCAAAATTCAGTATCAAGATTTTAGGGGCGTATTTTTCAGGTCAAAATAAGACGTTTTTGTCCATAAACATGTGTCCGCAAACGCTTCGTTACCGATCTACAGAGCGTTAAAGTTTCAAGATTTTTTTATTTTTTTCTTCATAGCTCTTTCAATTTTTGAGATATTGAGATCAAATTTGGAATGTAGGTTACGTTCTAGGGCTTACATCATCCAGCATGCCGAGTGATTGTGAGAATCTACAGGGAGATATTTTTTTCAGGGGTCAAGCCCTTTTTTACCCCATAAACTTTTTTGTGGTGCGCCGCTGGTGAATTCTGAGATACGAAATGAAATCTTTGTTTTGTTTATGAATTTTTTTGTCTCTTGTAATTTTCACGCATCTGCGATCGTTATCGAGAAAAAAGTAAAATCAATTTTTGTGATTCGCTACATTTAATTAAAATTTTCAACGGAACAATGAAAAAGCGAATTAGTGGGCTTTGACTGCTATTTTCATTTTGACGTTTAGGTTTGTTTTGAAGCATTTGACATTATTTGAAAGTTGGTGGATGTCTCATCGTGTATTTGTTTAACTTTAACGCTCTGTAGATCGGTAACGAAGCGTCTGCGGACACATGTTTATGGACAAAAACGTCTTATTTTGACCTGAAAAATACGCCCCTAAAATCTTGATACTGAATTTTGAAACACCCTGTATACTAATATTCGCTCAACTGTGCTATAACCAATAAATGGATTTTCTGGTTTTAGGGCACACTCTTCACTTGCAGTTTTACCCGAACCATTTGGAGAAACAGTATTTCGGAATACAGTTGCGTCCTTCGAGTAAGGGATTCCTGAAAAAGCACCGGATAACCTTGCTGAATATATTCAACAAAAATTTGGATTTGGAATCAGGGATCTTGTACGGTCTGAACATGGAAGACGGTGTATTCAGAACCTCTCGAGATAGTATCAGTAAAAGAGGTTTTCTAGTAAGCAACTCATTGATCGTGAAGTTGGAAATTTATTTAAATTCGTGAAAATGGGCTACTGGACTGGTAGGGGACGTGGGGGGAATAAGAGCAGGGTGTAATAGTGGAAAAACCAGGTGAAAAATTCAAATTTACCGCGCCATGCATCGGTCCCGCTACATGCGATAAAACCTGATATCTTACAAAATATTTCGGTAATTTTGCACTCATCATGCGATGGTTTTTTTTTCGAAAATTTTTTTTGGTACTTACGTATTTTTGTCTGAAAAACACGAATTTGATAATGAACATGTGAACAAACCACTATTTATCGAGATATTTCACCATAAAGTTACAAATTCCGCCTTCTTTTCCGCCTGTCTTCTGGATCGCATTTAGAACAATTTGCCCTTCTTTTTCCATCATTGTACAATTTATATACAGTGTGACCCACTTCTAATTTAATCGTTGGGTAAGGATCCTGAAATTTGCTGGAGCGAGAAATATACCAAAAATGCACTCTATGACCAAGTGGGGTCATCTTCAGTGATATACACTGCTCGCCAACAGCCAACCACCCCAATTTCCGGAAATGATATTAGGAGTCAAAATAGGTTGGAAATCACTTCGCTATTTGTGTAAGGCTAAAGCAAGGGACCATTGTAGACCACTTTATATCAGTCAACAAATTCTTACTCTCACCTGCCTCTACATTTTGGAAACAGTCTGTTTGATCTACACCAGACATCATTCATCTAACAAAAACCCGGTGAATCATATATTATGTCCACCAGAAATTCTATTATACAGTGTGTCCCACTTACCATGCTCACCATGGGTATCTTTTTAACGGTGAGAGATACGAGGTCGGTTAAATGACACCAAATGTGGAGTTTGTCAAGGCCAACTATAATGTGAAGAAATATTTTGATAAAATCTATTCGTTTTTGTTTCATACGCAAAAAACAGATTTTGACCATTTTCATGTCTCCTCCGTAACTTCTTTATTTATAACAATATTCAAATAGGATTTTTACAGTCTCATGGCAGTTTTTCAAAGTGATTTCGAAAAGAATATGAAATTCATACCAACTCTTCTAGAATTGGAGATATCAGCACCAACTTTAGTTTTTCAAATGTAGGTCATAGCTCACTATGACTTAGTTACAAATAACTTTTTTTTTTCTCTTACAGATGATATGTCGCAGTAATAGTTTTGTGTTGATAACAACGGAGTTATCGTCATTTATACAAAAATAAAAAATTATTCGGAAGCCGCCATCTTGAATTTATGAATTTTAACAAAAAAATCATGATCTCCGACGTCAAAAACCCACACTTACCAATTTTGAATGGAATCGGACCAAATCTTATCCGCCATCTTGGAGCAGCCATTTTTTTAAATTTCAACAGAAATTCCATAACCCCGATTAACTTGAAATCTGGCAGGTGTTCATAATTTCGGTGACAATACATTATGGAATTTTTGTTGAAATTAAAAAAAATGGCTGCTCCAAGATGGCTGACAAGATTTGGTCCGATTCCATTCAGAATTGGTAAGTGGGGGTTATTGAGGTCGGAGATCATGATTTTTTTGTTAAAATTTGTAAATTCAAGATGGCGGCTTCCAAATATTTTTTTGTTTTTGTATAAATGACGATAACTCCGTTGTTATCAACACACAACTATTACTGCCACACAAGAGAAAAAAAAGTTATTTGTAACTAAGTCATAGTGAGCTATGACCTACATTTGAAAAACTAAAGTTGGTGCTGATATCTCAAATTCTAGAAGAGTTGGTATGAATTTCATATTTTTTTCGAAATCACCTTGAAAAACTGCCATGAGAATGTGAAACTCCTATTTGAATATTTTCGTAAATAAAGAAGTTCCGGAGGAGACATGAGAATGATCAAAATCTGTTTTTTGCGTATAAAACAAAAACGAATAGATTTTATCGAAATATTTTTTCACATTATAGTTGGCCTTGACAAACTCCACATTTGGTGTCATTTAACCGACCTCGTATCTCTCACCGTTAAAAAGATACCCATGGTGAGCATGGTAAGTGGGACACACTGTATATGAAAGCAAGAAAAGTCTTCAATCACTTGCCAGAGCAATTCAAAGGGATTGGTTGTATCAAAAAATTCAGAAAGGAGGTTTAAAGATTCCTCATTGAGAAAGCATACTATGTATGACCTGCAGGAATATTACATGTATAATTCATTTCTATAATTTATTCATTGATTTTTTAATTATTATGTTAGGTATCTAGTTGGCGTTGTATGTGATATAAATGTTATGCTTTTATGGCTTTTTTGTAGTTGTTTTATACCCTTGTATTTGTGTTATTCATCAACTATATTTTATATTCATCTCTTTTATACCTTTGAATTAATAATTGGACATAGTGGATCTATCCACTTGCTAGTTAACGCTTTGTCAATAGGAATAATGTTTCTTGGACAATAAATCTCAGTTTTGATTGATTTGATTGGATTGATGGATTAAGAAATCGGTAGCAGATATTCAATTCGCGTATTGTAAATAGGGGAGTAGAAAAAACAAACTTTGGGAATACATTTCCTCTATCTTTTCCTAAAATCTATTACCCATCCAATCACAGTTTACACTTATTGCCTTTCCTAGTGATATTGATGTACGGCTGCACCAAAGGATACATCTCGTGGCTGCTCTTGAACACGGTGACGTCATTAATGACGTCGGCCGGGCCGTCTTGCGCAGGACACTCTGTAGAATTCGTACGACCGGCTCCGCCCTCGGCCAACGAGACGACCAGAACTGCTAGTTTCTTCCTTTTTGCCGCGTTCGTCTTCAGCACCTCCTTGGAAGAGAAAAAAAAACACGTGCGAAAATTACACAGGAAAAGATTTGATTGTTTGTTTGTTTGTATTGAATAGGCTTCGATCGATTTGGCTGAAAATTGGTGGGGAGGTAGCTTAGAACCAGGTGGAGGTTATAGGATACTTTTTATCCCGGTACCGTTAGAAAATTCAAGATGGCGGATCTAATATATCGGACGAGTTTTGTAATTATATGGTCCGATTCTATTCAAAATTGATATCTGGGGGTTTTCGGGGTCGGAGATTATGATTCTTTCGTCAGAATGTGAAAATTCGGTCGGAATTTGGAAATTCAAGATGGTGAAACTAATATGGCGGACGAGTTTTGTAATTATAGTCCGATTCTTTTCAAAATTGGTACCTAGGGGTTTTCGTGATCGGGAATTAAGATTCCTTAGTCAAAATTGAGAAATTCAAGATGGTGGATCCAAAATGGCGGATTTTGTAATTAGGATCCGATTTTATTCAAATTATGTATCTGGTGGTAAATGTGGTCAGAGATTATGATTCTTTCGTCAAAATTAGGAAATTCAATATTGAACTGAAAAAATATATTATAGAAATAATGTATATACAGGGTGTTTCATAATTGAATGCTGATCCTAAAGGGCGATAATCCTTGGATGATTTTAAGAAAAATTCTTCATGTGAACATAGGTCCGTAACAGCTTCGTTTCTAAGATACAGGATGTTGAAATTTAACAAAAAAATCAGTTATTCCCCAATATCTCTGGAACCGCTATGGCTTTTTTCTTCAATTTTGGTACATGCCGAGTATGAATAGAAATACATTTTTTCCATAATGAAGGATTTCTTAATTTCCATCAGTGGCGTCCCTGTTAACATACCCTGTCATATTTTTCATCAAAATAATGATACGCCACTGTCTTTTTTTCAAATGAATATTATTTTTGTAATTATCCTCTATCTTCTCATAAAAATGGTCTCTTGTATTTTTTTCGTTCGGCGAACGGTTTTTGAGTTAGAAAATAAAATGCATTCATTTGCTTGTCCCTATTCGTTTTTTACTCTTAGTCATAATTTCACAATTGTAGGTAACCAAAAGATCTGAGCAATATTTTTATAATTTTATGGTAACTATTTTTAAGTATTTGTAATTAAGAAAAAAGCCAGAGCGGTTTCAGAGATATTGGGGAATAACTGATTTTTTTGTTAAATTTCAACATCCTGTATCTCAGAAACGAAGCTGTTACGGACCTATGTTCACATGAAGAATTTTTCTTAAAATCATCCAAGGATTATCACCCTTTAGGATCAGCATTCAATTATGAAACACCCTGTATAGCAGAACAACAATTGCGAGGTCTGCTAGTAAAAAATAATCTGGTAACCACGAAAAAAATACTACTAAGCAATGACCGCACAAATAAAAAAATGAGGAATATAACTGCCAGAAATGAAATCTACGAATGTTCTCACAATATTTCAAATATTCTATTGTTCTCAAAGAATGGTAATGGAATATTCAGTCACCGTCAAAAAACCGCCCGAAAAACAAATTAGCCAAATGTAATTTTTTAAATTCTCGTCCAATGGGGAAGTCCACTGAGGGAAGAAATCCATGCAAACCTCTTTCAATCGACAAATCATGATTTACGTTTGATGTACAATCAATATTGTGAGTTGAAGTTGAATGGAATCGAATCTATATCGTTTTGAAATCAGCATATTTCAAACAGCCAAATATGATGGTGGAGCCGTGACGTATTAGTTCCGAACTGTAGCTATCTCTCTCTGATACCTCGTCATTCTGCAGTGTTGCAGTGTGATTGGTCAGTTCAAGGACAATAGGCGTGTTGGGACTAGGACGTCGCACCGCAGTCACACCAATGAATTGACTAAATTTCAAATAACGCAGGAATTGTGTGTTTTGAAATGGACATATTCTAATTTATTTTTTTCATCCTTTTAGCATGAATGACAAAATTCAAAATTAATTCGCTGGTAGTTTTTCAGTATAGAGTTCACGATAATGTCGTTTTGAAAAATCAGTGGTCTCCCCCATTCTGGAGAAATATCGATCTCTCCATACCTATATTCATATTTCGTAGTGGTATCCTGAATTGTATTCCTGAACAGAAACTGATTGCTTGATGAGGTAAGTTTATGCTCAATGAGGTGAAAGGCACGTAAAAAGTCTTGGAGATGTTAACTGCCAGAAGTTTTTTTTTAAATAATCTAATATCTTTTTTTCATTTTAAATTCGGCTTCAAGTTTCACGCATACGTATAGCAGTGTCATCTGCAAAGCTAACCATATCACCATCGACTTGTTGATTGAATAAATCATTCATGTAAATAATAAATAATAATGGCCCCAGGACAGTGCCTTGAGGTACACCAAAGCTCACCTCACCAGGATCACTACACACATTATTTATTATCCAGACAGTCTGTGTTCTCTCCGAATAACTCACGTTTTGCCATTGGGCGTTAAGAAGTTAAGGGTGAATGAGTTACTTTTGTTTTTCCCTGTATAATGATCAAGCCACCAGATTTTTCTGGGAACTGAGAAGGTTAACATTTGGAAACATGAATTCATGATTTGGTCGAAGTTGCAATAAAATCAGACAAGAATTGAAAAAGTTACTGGGCGATCAATTTAGCAAAATTTTTTGCTGGTTGGTTTATTTTTCCACTGAGTGTATCTTGTGAATATTTTTAGGAAGTTCTAGAATTTCTTATGATAAATTTTTCAAATATTTCTAGAATATAGAATATTCATTGATCCGGAGGTCCATGGCGGACCTATACTGAGAATATTCAAATATTTTACAAGAATATTCTAGAGGCCTTATTCTTGAAATATCCTTACGTTTTTATGCGGTGTACTACATTTTTCCTCAAAAATTGAATGATACAATGAATCAATTTCTGAAAGAAGAACCGAATAAATGATTAAATATGTGACTGAATGGATGATTAAATGAACGATCTATTGCATGATTGAACTAATGACTGAACGAATGAATTATTTATGATTTAATTAATGAATAATTGTATAAACAATTCAATGAGTCGTGGAAACCATCCATTTTCTCAAAGTGGTCCAGAATTTTTCAAAGGAAAAATATAAAAAACCCAAAGTCGGTCGACCGGGTTTTTTGCATTTTTCCTTTGAAACAATTCAATGATTGAACGATTCAATGAATGGATAATTCAATTCATCTATAATCAAATCAATGAAAAAATGAATGAATGAATAACTGAATGAACGATTGAATAAACGATTGATCGACTGAATAAATGATCGAATGAACGATTGAAAGAATGATTGAATAAATTACCGAATAAATGAACTGATGATTGAATAAACGAATGAATAAATGATTCAATTCAATGAATGAATGATTCAATTCAATGAATGAATGATTCAATTCAATGAATGAATGATTCAATTCAATGAATGAATGATTGAATGGTTCAATGAATGAATTAATGAATGATTCACTTCAGTTTCCTTCAATTTGTGATGATGGAGTACTCACATTGTAAAATGCGATGATGTCGTTTTTGGTCAAAGTTTTCAGATACGCCACCTCGACATTGACTCTATCGAAGTGGTACTGTTGAGCGGTTATTTCCAGCCAAAACCGGTTGGTCAACGAACTCAACTGTTTGGGTTTCTCCAGCCTTTGGGCGGCCAAGGCTTCGCGATGCCTCAGGAATTCGTCGTCGCTCATATCTTTGATATAATCCTTGAAAATAGATAGATAGATAGATAGATATTTATTTCCATACTAATAACATTGAATTAGTTGATCGTCAGATGAAATATTACTTTATGAAACAGAAGTGTATAAAATCACAAAACTATAAAACTACACAAATAGTATAAAAGTAAAACTAGAGAAGTGTCTATCACATAAGTTCGTGTTCATTTATGCTCAGATCAAGATACTCTTTGATCGTATAATAGTAGATTGTTTTATTAGGATCAAAAGTGACACTTTGTTTGACAAGCGAATTTTGCATTTGCGAGGCGGAGCGTTTAGCGAAGCCGAGCGAAAGCAAAATTTGCGAGTCGAACAAAGTCACTTTTGATCCGAATGAAACATGCTATTTTTTCTGCAACCGAAACAATTAACTCAAATAAACATGTAAAGTAACCAACAATGCCGTGCCATATGTATTCAATGCAACAAATATTGACAAATAATCCGTGTGGTGAGAATATTCTACCTGCATTAACAGCAGGTTTATTCAATTTTCATGGATGTTCGAAATGTAGTTTCAATATAAATACAACCACAGAGTGACATATTTGTGTATGGACCAGGTGCTCTAATGGCAAATACCGCGCCAGTGCCAGCTATACGAACAAGACGTGGAAAATGTTGGGTTAGTGAGCATATGAACAATAATAATAGTGATTATTTATTCCTCTCCATACTGGCATACTACACTGTGTTTGACTTGATAATCAAATGAAGCTAAACAATATCGTTGATTGAGACAAAAAAACTATTGCTTGCCGTGATTATTCAAAAACAAGTTATCCATCCCGAGAATAACTAATGAAATACAGATCAAGCAAGTATTTGAATCTTGAAGGCTTCCCTGATCAAAATAAAAATACTCAACTGAGGTGTTTATAATTCCAATACTAAACTATAATAAGGTGTATTTATATCTCCAGCATGGGTATGAAATGCCAAATCTGCTGAAATCGGAAACAAATCAGGTATGCGTCTCAACCAAAATACCAACCGTCACAATGTTGTTTATTCTTGATGACGTCCAGTAGATCCTTTTTAGTTCCTAGGCGCTAAAGTTCAACTTTAGCTCCTAGGAACTAAAATCCAACTTTAGCTCCTAGGAACTAAATATGTTGCCTAGCAACCTACCTATTTTTGTGTCAGTAATAGAAACGTCAATTTAAGAGCTAATTTTGGTATCAAAAAGCCGTTTTTCAGTAAAAAAGCTCTGATTTTATTCTTAAATTGATAAAAATTCAGGCACCTCACCTTAGAAGGTGTCTTGTTGTAATACATACAGGGTGATGCGTTTAAGATGGGAGGCACCTCTGTATCTTCGCGAATTCAATAATATTCGTTCAAGATTTGCCGACAAATATAAACTACGCAACACAAATTTCGTCGCACCCCAAAATTTTCTCTCTTTTAAAATATGAATGACTTTTTTCTGCTTCGAAGAATTTGAATTCGGATTACACTGTTCGCTAGCCTAGCCCTTCAGCTATAATCTCGTATTTCTTTAAAACATGATGTTCCTCATAAAATCGCTACAGGGTGTCACCTGAAACTGTGAAAAATTCGGAATTTTCAAAAGGATCCCAAATGAACAAACACTTTTTTTTCAACTTCGACAGCAGAGGCATGAAGATGATTCCATTACCTAGGGAAATTTTTCAAATTGTCTTCTCAACTCTTTTATTTACAGTGATCTCAAAAATTTTACTTTCTGTTTTTGCAGTCACAACTATTTTCCTTGTCAACCCGTTTTTATAATCTCATTTTGAAGCTGAAACTTCAGATGAAGAGATATGAAGATCAGAATTGACTCAAGATGAACATTATACAGCGTGTCTAACTTCTAATGGAAGCACCCCTGTATGTTTCGTGATTGTTGAGTTAGGATTCTGAAACTTACAGGAGCGGAAGATATACTGAAAATAAACACTATGACCAATGATAAACACTGCTCGTCAACAGCCATGGAACCCTCCACATTTCCGGAAAATGTTATTAGGAGCCAAGATAGGTTGAAAATCATTTCGAATTCGAAATCAGGGCGTCCAATTCACTGAAATGTTTTGAGATCACTTTGTAAATAAAAGAGATAGGGAGACCATTCGAGAAGTGTCCGAAACTAAAGAGATCATCTACATTCCTCTACTGTCAAAGTTAACAAAAAAGTTTTTCTCCATCCTGTAGCGATTTTATGTGACCAACCTTATGTTTTGAAGAAACAAGATAATAGCTGAAGGACTGGGCTAGCGAATAGTGTGATCTGAATTCATATCGTTCAAAGCAGAAAAAAGTTATTCATATTTCAACAGAGGAACCTCAGAATAAGTAGACAAAGAGAAAAATTTGATTTACTCATTTCCCTCAAATAGCCTTATTAAAAGATGTTACACAATGAAGTATAATCAAGCAGATCGAGTTGAAGCTAGAATACCGGAAATTTTTGTCAGTTATCGGAAAGGAATTATTATACCGAACAAGGTTCGAGTTTCATGACAAAACTCTCTTTTTTTTCAATTTTTTATCAGTTTTTCCGTCAATGCACACAATCAAACAAGTTTATTTTACGATTTGATAGTAACTACCTATGTATTTTATACATTCTCAATTCAATAGCTTAATTGAAGCTAAAATTTCGGTTAAATCAATTGAAAAAAAGGTCTTGTACTCACCATCATACTTTCCAAAAATGCTTCTATCCTAGAATCTAAATAATTGGGATGTCTGTCAGACTGAATAATAATTCGCAAACCTTGAACACCATTCGATCTTCTAACACCACTGAACACTATATAACCCAATTGTTCCTAAAACCGCAATACAGGTCAGTGAGAGACAAATTATACGGGATGATTCAATGTTTACCTTAGTGCGTAGTATATTGAAGCAAGGCTCTTGAATGATCTGAGCAAACAACTCCAATTTGATGTTGTTCTCTTTCGTCTGCAATCCGCACTGGTAGTAAAGTTCTATGCAAGAGGATTTGTGCACTTTATTTTGCACCTGAAAGGATAATATTGTTACTTTTGAACATCTCATATCATTCAGGGTGTGCAATTTTTGAAAAAACATTGTCCCATCAACCATATCTGAGGCGATTTATCATACAGTAGGTACCAAAACTATATAAAATCGGGGAGCTATACATGAGAACACTGAAGGAAAATTCTGCCAATCAGGCACCAAAACAATGAATGACGTAAGTGGACTCGCATGTTGAGTGAAAAACACATATTATTTCATTCGTTTGATAGACATGATGATTTGAAATTTTCAATTAAAGATTTCGGACACACTCGGGAAATATCCAAGTGTAATAAGCTAATTGTTTTTTCCTAGATCATATGCTTTGAAAATATTGAGAATTGACTTCTCCCTTTTCAGAAAATATATAGGAAATGTTTCATTTCATGTGGAAGGAGAGACAAATTCATCTCACTGTAAATACGACAATATCAAAATGACAATGTTTCAGCCCACTTGTCTTTTTCCAATGGATTAACGAGGTGTATATGCATTCAGTGCATGTTGACAACTATAAAAATTGACAAGCTCCATATTTGCAGGATATTGTCGCAACTCAGATGTTGGCCCTCCTATAGGTCGTAACTTAGCTACTCGCTTGACTTTTTCATGAGAGGTTTCGATCATTTCACCACCCAACCACATTCATTCCCTAATAAAGAGTCAAGACAGTCTTCCTATAAAATTTGACATTTATTGATTAAGTGGAAAAATCGTGGATAAATGCTTGCCACATGGTAGGTTAGCAAGGAAAAAGAACATAATGGTTTTCCAAATGAAACAACGCAAAACAACAGTTGAACAAAACAGAACTTACATTACAACTTCTAGCATGGGGTTGACCAGTAGTATTTTTAATTGATAATTACTAATGACTTGTATCAATAATAATAATGCCTTATCGACTCGGGTACTATTTATATTCGGAATCGATATTAGGTTTGCAATTTTCCGCAATGGGAATGGCCATTACCTTTCAATATTGCTTACCTAGGTATTATCGCACGGTACGCGGTTTTGCAAATTCTACAGGAACTGAAGTCTATGAACTCCACTGACCTGATCGAAACAACACAGTGCTGGATGTTTTAATTTCGAAAAGTTTATTTATAATTAAAGATCTTGAAATGAACGCGACTTTGAGTGATGTTATTCCATAGGCATTTGTACTGCTTGACAATATTATCTATTCGAATCATAACATAATTTCCTAGAAATTTTCTATAGTCCATTCCAACTAAGAAGACTGCACAACTACTGATCTGTCAGCGAATTCAAATTCACCGCCATATCAGCTAAAATCCAGCGAGCAGCTTATTGTAGCTGATCGTTGCCTCTCTCTCTCATTTGTCGAATTTGCTGGTTTTCTCCAAATCTCTATGCAATTGAGGTTAGATTGGAATTTCAAAGTGTTGAATTAATTTCCCACCCAGCATGTTTCTTTATTGACTTGAAATTTCTATGATGAATTAGCTCATCATCAGCTGATTGTGCGCCATGTTGGTTCTTGCATCTCACTCTTATGTCACTTTCGATTCCTCTCCCTCTCTCTCTAGGCACCATCTAGTAGCTCTATATTATTGATATTGAAAGCAGCAAACAAGGTGGATAGAATATGGTGTAATCACAGACAGTAAACGCTTGACCGCAGAATCCGCAATAATGATATATTAGTTCTCAGTTGTCCGCAAGATGGCGACACTTTCTACAGATTTCTTTCACGACAAAAAACGGCGCTTACACACACCGCTTGCATCAGAAATAATAATATCATAACATTCATAACCTAACCTCAAATCGAATAGGTCGCGTGCACGATGACCGACCCTGGAGGCAAAATATTGAAACACAACCTCATTCTTCTGTGAATTATTGATACACAACCTCACTTTTTTACTTGGTTACAGAGGAATCAAAAGATTGAAATAGTTTTTCACAATATTTTGGCATACGAATCGTGTTTTTTGCGCTATTCATTAATTCGAGCATGCCTTCGCATAGTGCTTTTGTACAATGCACCAAAAATGCAGCAAAAGACTAAAGAATATGATTTTTCAGGTAAATAGTAATCTCACATAGTTATCATTATGAAATGTTGTCATTCCTTATTACAATTCCTTCTGCCTTCTGTCACTTCTGCAATACAAGCTGCTACTGCTAATAGATTGAAAATGTCTACAACACACACGATCGTCAGCATGTCAGACCAGTCCTCCCGATTGATTGCATGAATCCAATTTTCTTGCATTATTTTAGAAATTTCAGATGCATTTCTATTAGCTCTCATTGCAGAAGGAATTCCGATGAGAAATCAGAGAAATTACCAAATTTCAAAAATGAAAAATATATGTTAGTGACTATAGTAAGTACTTACTTTTAAATCATATTGTACCAACCGGATTACCTCGTCTTCCGCTGCAGTTTTTGTGCATTTCACAACAGCATAATGTGATGGCATGAGAGAATTGATGAATAGCGGAAAAATACGATTCGTATGCCAAAATAATTGTGAAGAACTATTTCGATCACTTTTAAACAAATAAGTAAAGTGACGTTGTGTTTCAATGTTTTGCCTCCAGTGTCGGTCATCTGACAGTTCTTGCACGCAACCCATGAGATTGAATTTGAAAGTATGAAACTGTAATTTTGGGGAATTCTAATCATCATCATTTCTACCAACCTTGAATGTTCGTTGAGATTTCGCCGTCTAACGGGTAAAATGCGACCTATATTCCGCGATATTGAAAATAATCCTTCTGTCAAGTAGGCCGTAGGTCAAGAACTTTGACCGAAAAACAGTAGATGGCATTTGATAGGAGTTTCTACACCATCTTCTGTTCATCCTGGCAGCAAACTTACCTCGTAGGAATAGTGGCAGCCCTCTTCCAGCTTCAGCTCTCTGTTGAGCAGCAACTGTCTCGGCAACAATGGCGACATGCTCATCGATGCCGCTAGAGTGTCTTCTACTATATGCACTAATTCCAAGGCCTTCTCTTTGTTCGCGTTGCCGTGGACGAGACTTTCGATGTGGATTTTGGAAAGGACCTGAGGGATGAACGACTCCAATCGTTCGATCGTTATTTCTGAAATTTGTTTTTACTATTTGCTTTTGGAGATTTTTCGGTCTCAGAACTATGCCATCATACATCAACTGACCATATTTTCAACGGTTAGACATTTCTTATTTCGAAGTTTGCTACAAAGATGTCAAATATGTGAATAAAATCGGCGTCACTATCAAATTTATTGTATTTTTATCAGATCAAAACCTGTTGAATCGTTAATAATTATTGAAAATGAGAGCTACAGCTACTTCTTGGACCTTCAATTTTCAAATTTATTATAGATGACATTGAGGAACGACAATGCATTCGATAAGCGACACTCAATTTGACAGTAGTCGCTGCCAACGAATAACACAAAATGTTGTTGTTGTTGTTGTTGTTGTTCTTTCTTACCCCAAGAAACACTCATTCACAAGTTATGTCAATATAACATAATAATTAAAATAAAATCATTCCAAGTATTCAAATGAGAATAAATTACTCCGTTTATAGTGTCATGAGTATATATTTTTTCATATTGACTTTGAATCTTGTTTCATTATCAATATGTTTCAAATCACAAGGTAATGAATTATATAAAATGATTTCGTTGAAGAATACTGATTTTTTGCCAATAATGGAGTTATATGGGTTTGCTATCAATGAATTAAACTGTCTGTATATAAAGATGATAAATTCAACAGATTTTTTGGTTTGTAAATATCAATAGTGTTAGAAACTGGATATTACACCGCACCACCCTATACATCGATACCTTCTGATTCTATTAGTAAGACATGACGACATGACTCAGATGGTTACGTTACATGATGAATAAGAGGACAGTTGGAGAATATAGATTATTAATCGTTTATCTTTTGTAGAGCACACATCGTGAATATAAATTGTTAGAATTTGAATAGTGTTTCAATATCCATAGTCCAATAATAGTTAGTTAAAGGTCCAGGTAATGTAAATTGTAAATACACTCAATTGTTTTATTTTGTAATTTCATGAATGGTTTCGAATGTGATATCCTTGTGCTTCCCCAAATTGATATTAAATATCGTAATTTTGAGTAAATCAAACAAAAATATATATTCTTCAAATATCTAAGAGGAATGAAATTTCGAATTTTGTATAAAATGCCAGTAATTGGATTTAGCTTTTTTCTCAGGTGATCTATATGTTTAGTCCACGATAATTGTTCATCAATATGAAGACCTAAGAATTTTGTAACATCTAAATATTTTATGGCTTTCTGGTCGAAAAATATTGTTGATTTCGATATATCAGTTTTTATTTTCCAAAAATATACACATGCGTAGATTTGTCATAGTTATGAGTCAGCTTATGAATTTGTAGCCAAGATGATATCATTTTCAAGTCAATTTTTACATCATCAACTATATCATCGAATTCTTTAGAGGAATAGATTATTGTAGTATCATCTGCGAATAACTCCAGATCTCCTTTTACTTTCAAAGATGATAATGAATTGATGTAAATTAAGAATAAAATTGGACCCAAAACGGAACCTTGTGGTACACCACATTTGATCTCCCTTATGGAGCTACAAATATTATTGACTTCAACATACTGCTTTCTATTTTGCAGATAATTTTTTTAACCAATCAAATATTTTTTCTCTGATACCTATTGAATATATTTTACTCAGTAATATATCATGATTCACATTATCGAAAGCTTTACATAAATCTAAAGACAAGAGACCACATTTATAATTTTGATCAATTTTAAACTGAATATCCGAAATTACATCCATACCTGCTACCTCAGTGTGTTTGGATCGGCGAAATCCATATTGACCACTGTATAGTAGACCATTATTTACAAAAAATCAAGAATACGCTTATTCATCATATTTTCAATAATTTTCGAGAGGATCGGGAGAACTGAAATCGGTCTGTAGTTATTAAGGTCATCTCTTTTTCCAGTTTTATGTATCGGTATGACTTTAGCAATTTTCATCTTATCTGGTACAATTCCAGTTTTGAAAGATCTACATAGTAACAATACAAAATAAAATCGGAAATAATTCTACTTTGATCACTTTTACAACTTTAGCAGATATTCCGTCGAATCCACAAGATTTTCGTACATCCAAGTCATCAATTATTTCTTCAACTTCTGAAATACAGAAACATGTCTGACCCTTTCCATGTGAAATATGGTCAATTATGGTGCTTCGGATTCAAATGTGTTGATGGCTGTACTGTCAAATGCGAATTCCGTCAAACTATCCCTAATGAATCAACCTCGACATCAAATTTAAACGTCACGACTCCATATACAGGGTGTTTCAAATTCAGTATCAAGATTTCAGGGGCTTGACGGAATTAAGTAACAACAACTCTCTTTCAATATTTGGCTATTTAGATGGCAATAACATGAGAAGATCATTATGTATCAATGTAATGAATATTTTCAAGTACTTATTCAGTTTTTTTTTTGTTGAGGGACAAGAAATAAGAATGAGAACAGAGAAAACCCGAGCACAATCTAACAATGAGTAAGATAGATATTATGACAATTTGAAAAATTCGCAAAAATCAATGCTTTGGGGTAAAATTAGTAAGTCACATACGATCAGTAGCTGCCAACAGTTCGAGTTTGGTCCAAGAATGTTCAGTCAGCAGAACAGTCAAATAATAAACTGCGTGTTGATAGGGCTGTTCAGCATCAAAGTTCTTCAAATTCCTAATATACTACAACGAAAACATATTAAATTGAAATCAAAAAAATGCTCACAACCATATTCCTCACGTTTTCTTTGATGATTTCAAATCGTTTGGGATCAATCTTGAAATTAGCCAGTTTTTCCATTATTTTCCGCAGTAAAATATGCTGTTTGTTATTGTAACCGCCTATCCCAAGCTAGAAAAAGAATCAAGTGAAAATGATTGAAGGATTCGCCATGAGGACACTGACGATCAAACCGTATTTTGTGTTGATGAGTTCCCATTTCAAACCTGCCAATTCGGCAGCATACGCGTACTCGTTCAGGGCATCCCGGAAAAGTTGTACCAACATGTGAGTCAGGTTACAGTTCAGTGGGTCCAGATAAGCCAAAGGACTAAAAATATATTGAAAAAATATTCACAAAATCTACTAAACCAACTACAATTTTGCTCAAGCACAATCCATAAATACTGTCCGCAAAACAATCTAGTGAAGTAGAAATTAATTGAAACTCAATGGACACGAATCGAACACAACTAGAACTGGATAAAACAATACAGGGTGTCCGTTTTTCGAGCTCCACTATGGGGATTTTTATGCTGAACATTTATCTGCAAGAAAATTCGATGTTTCATTTTCAGTTTTTGAATTATTTGAAGAAAACGAAAATTTGTAATTTTAGTTTCTATTTCTTCAAGCATAAACCAAAAGACTAGACGTTTCTGACTGGGACATTCTCAAGGCACTTTTTTACAAGGAATCTGAATCTGTCATTGTATTTTTGCATTATTGAAGTCTTTTTTTTTTCTGATTACAATGATGTATCACTCGACATGATCGAATCATTCCTGTTGATCAAAATTGAAAAAAAAAACATTTTTGCGAAGAGTGCTTTGGAAAGAATGCCAACACTTTTGTAACAAGCTGAATTTCGACAGTTTATTTGAATTTGGATCTGGAACGTTTGACACTTTCGTCAAGCTCATCTACAGTTCTCAACACACTAAATGGACCAATCATAATTTTACTCTATTTCGAAGACCAGTACTTTTTGAAAAAATTGACCGATCTTCATGCGGTTTTCGATATCAGATGTGATGTTTCATCGACTTCAAAGAGAGCTTACACAGGGTGTAAAGTGGAACCATTACACTATGGTCTACATTTCCAATGCTACCAGAACTCGAGAATTTTTTTTCTGATCAAAAGTCAGTCATATTATGATACACTGGGACCTCAACTCGGGACGTTTTCGTGATTCTTCCTCAATTGGCCATTGGAACAAAAATTCGATTTTTTTTTTCGAAAGTCTTGCATTTCTTGAATTTTTTCTCTAGAACTCCACTTGAGCTGACTATTGGGAAGAACTGTTCTCATATTTCGTGGAGGACAATGAAAGTCGAAAAAAACACTATTGTGGAATATTCAGGATGATAAGAAAATAGGACAAAATCTCATCTCAGTATAAAAAATAAAAAATGGCGACTAAAACCATGGCCCATTCGATTCAGTATATTCAGAAACGGCCTCCTCGATATCCATTATTTATATTAGGCTATTGACTCGAGACGTATTCGAAAATTCACCTCTAATTGAAATACAGGATAAAAATTTTCAATTCAAACTTGTTTTCTGATATCGATGATTCTTATCAACTGATTTCCAATATTTATTGCCCAAGTATGAGACACAGAGTATTGTTGTTCAATTAACTGAGTGTTTCACAACTTATCTGACATATTTCAACCACAACTACGATATTACATAGAGAAGAAGACATCAGCAACATGCTCCTGAATTTTCTACACGTACTTAAGAAACCAAAATGAGAGGTACTACTATACCGGGTGGCTACGGAAGCATTGCCTACGGAATATCTCAGTTATTGTATGAAGTAGGTTTGTGAAATTTGGAGCGTCGATATAAGGACATAAGAGCTAGAATTTGAGCATATTGACATGTCGAAGTTAACTTCCGGTCTGACCGGAAGTAACATCAACTTTCTTATTTTAAATGGAAACCCTATTTTTTTTTCTTTTCGCATTATTCAGCATTCAATTCCCTTTCTAATGACATATCACAAGTTGGTATCTAACTAGAAACTAGATCAGAAAAAAATTATTATTGAAATTCACCGAGTAGGCCGTGGAAGCAAAATGAATTCCAAAAAATGACTTTTTATTATATCATTAGAAAGGAATGGTTATGCTGAATAGTACAGGCAAGAAAAAGTTGTATGTTCCTATTTAAGTTATGAACCTACAGAGTATTGTTTTTTTCCCAATTTTTCCAATATTTTTTGGCGGCTTTTTATAACGCCGACGAATGAAAATGAAATATCACAGTAGTAGCAACTGTTATCAAGTGACGTATGGTTTCCATAGCCAACTTTTCATTTTTGGGCTTTCATTTTGCTTCCACGGCCTACTCGGTGAATTTCAATAATAATTTTTTTCTGATCTAGTTTCTGGTTAGATACCAACTTGTGATATGTCATTAGAAAGGGAATTGAATGCTGAATGAAGCGAGAAGAAAAAAAAAAGGGTTTCCATTCGAAATAAGAAAGTTGATGTTACTTCCGGTCAGACCGGAAGTCAACTTCGACATGTCAATATGCTCAAATTCTAGCTCTCATGTCATTATATCGACGCTCCAAATTTCACAAACCTACTTCATACAATAACTGAGATATTCCGTAGGCAATACTTCCGTAGCCACCCGGTATGTACTATAAGGACGGAAAGTGAAGGATGGAAAATTTGAAATAAGTAGCCATATTGTCGTATAATTTTTTTCCTACGTCGGCATCAACGCCTATTGGTCGATTTCGTTACCTATACATAGAGACAGAAATTGGTTGCGCTTTGAGGACAGCTATGATTCATATATGAGTTGTAGATATATGGATACATCATTGTAATCAGAAAAAACTTGACTTTTCGAAAACGCAAAAATCCAATATGGCGCCCTTGAGGAAAAACAAAGTTGAGTGTTGTAACTTTGTCATCAAGAACGTCACGGAAAATACGATGACAGATTCAGAATTCTGGTGAAAAAGTGCCTCAAGAATGTCCTAGTCAGAAACGTTTAGGGCTTTTGGTTTTTGCTTGACAAATAAAAACTAAAATGACAAATTTTCGTTTTTACAAATAATTCAAAAACTGAAATTGACACATCGAATTTACTTGCAGATAAACGTCCAGAATGAAAATGCGTAAATCTGTCCCAATTTAACCGACCTCGTATCTCTTATAATAACTGAGATCTCCATGGTGGAGCTCCAAAAACGGGCACCCTATATAACGAGAAAGCAATAAAAATGAAGGAATTCTCAATAGTATTTGTACCTGACGAAATCAAACATCAAATTTGCCTTAGGCAACAAAAACTGGTCATCCTGTTTGAACCATACCCGAGTCAAAGGAGTATCTTCTATTATGATTGGAAACTCGGTTACCTAAAAAAAAATTACCAACTAATATTTGCACGTCTGAAAAATTTGAAAACTCACATCTTCATCGATGGGATACAAATTGAAATCCGTAGGGACGAATTCGTTTTTTTCCGGCATTCTCAAGTCCGGACAAAGACCAGCTTTCATCCACGACTAGAACGAACATTATTTCAACTACAGGGTTATTTAAAAAAAGTGTTACAAACTTCCAGGACATAATATGTAGGGCTTGTCAAACTGAATACCCATTAACGAAAAATCGCATTTCAAGAAAAAAGGTCATAGAAGACGAAGGTGAAAAAGCATTAGCTAGAGAAATGATAAACAAAAATTCGAAATATGATGGTGAATCTAAGTTGAGATGTTTTAGAGCATTGAATTTGGCAAACAGAAAAAGATTTATATACAGTGTGTCCCAGCTAAAACTTGTCACCCCCAAATCTCCGATGTCCCTTAAAAAAAAATTGGAAATCGCTGTAATTATCATATTCCAAAGTTGAAACCTTGGAGCGTAACGGGTATCAACTGCACCCTGTATTTCATTGCATTTTTGATTCTCCCTGAAGAGCTGCTTTCATCAATATATCACACTTGCTGTCTAGCGGGAATGATTACAGAGATATAGGGTGTTCAAAATCGAGATTTTTCAACTTTAGGATTTTTTTGTGTCGAAAAAATTCATTATCGGTCAAAACGGCGTTCATGTCCCTATCTCAACTTTTGATTTACCATCTACTGATATTTAATTCCGACAAATACAGGGTAGTTCAAAATTCAGGATTTTGCACCACCCAGTATTCGTTCAAATTAAATATCAGTAGATATTAGTAAATCAAAAGTTAAGATACGGACATAAAAGCCGTTTTGACCGATAATGAATTTCTTTTTTCTGCAACCGACACAAAAGTCGTCCATTTTGATACCAAAAGTAGCTCTTAAATTGACGTTTCTATTACTGACACAAAAATAGGTATGTTGCTAGGCAACATATTTAGTTCCTAGGAGCTAAAGTTGAATTTTAGTTCCTAGAAGCTAAAGTTGAACTTTAGCTCCTAGGAACTAAAAAGGATGTACTGGACATCATCAAGAATAAACAACATTGTGACGGTTGGTTATTTGGGTTGAGACGCATACCTCATTTGATTCCGATTTCAGCAGATTTGGCATTTCATACCCATGCTGGAGATATAAATACACCTTATTATAGTTTAGTCTTGGAATTATAAACATCTCAGCTAAGAATTTTTGTTTTGATCTGGGAAGCCTTCAAGATTCAAATACTTGCTTGATCTATATTTCATTCGTTATTCTTGGGATGGATAACTTGTTTTTGAATAATCACGGCAAGCAATAGTTTTTTTGTCTCAAACAACGATATTGTTTAGCTTCATTTGATTATCAAGCCAAACACAGTGTAGTATGGAGAGGAATAAATAATCACTATTATCATTGTTGATATGCTCACTAACCTAACATTTTCCACGTCTTGTTCCTATAGCTGGCACTGGCGCGGTATTTGCCATTAGAGCACCTGGTTCATACACAAATATGTCACTCTGTGGTTGTATTATATTGAAACTACAATTCGAACATCCTTGAAAATCTAACCTGCTGTTAATGCAGGTAGAATATTCTCACCACATGGATTATTTGTCAATATTTGTTGCATTGCATACATATGGCACGGCATTGGTGGTTACTTCACATGTTTATTTGAGTTAATTGTTTCGGTTGCAGAAAAAATAGCATGTTTCATTCGGATCAAAAGTGACTTTGTTCGACTCGCAAATTTTGCTTTCGCTCGGCTTCGCTAAACGCTCCGCCTCGCAAATGCAAAATTCGCTTGTCAAACAAAGTGTCACTTTTGATCCTAATAAAACAATCTACTATTCTTGGATGCTGGTCCTGTCACCTGCTACACCTCAGCCTCCTGAGCTTTTTGTGCATTCCAGTATAATTTTACAGCACCCATGATGAATAGTTTCGACACCAAAAAATCCTAAAGTTGAAAAAATCTCGATTTTGAACACCCTATATCTCTGTAATCATTCCCGCTAGACACCAAGTGTGATACATTGATGAAAGCAGCTCTTCAGGGAGAATCTAAAAATGCAATGAAATACAGGGTGCTCTATTTGAAAATCGAGAGTTGATGCCCGTTACGCTTCAAGGTTTCAACTTTGAAATATGATAATTGCAGAAAAATATGTCCACCGCCAAATTGAAATCGACCTGTCCGAGCGATTTTCAATTGTTTCAACGACATCGGAGATTAGGAGGGTGACAAGTTTTAGCTGGGACACACTGTATGTGATTTCAATGGAAAATTGTGGAATAGAAAAATTATGTCAAATCAATGAACGTAACTTTGCTCTCTATTTTGACGGGTAAAATCTACCTGGAAAGTTTGCAACAGACAACATGTATAATAATATAAAGTATTCTAACCCTTATAGTTTCGTCTGGGATTTCGACTTTCTTGTATTTCGTTCCATACCAAGGTTCCACCTCGTCTAGTTCATTCTCAAACTTCCTTGCAATAACAGATATCCTAAAATGACCAGTGAAAAAAAAATCACGTTAATAATAATAATAATAATAATAATAATAATAATAATAATAATAATAATATTTATTTTCCATTAGACACAGATAACATGTATTGGAATCGTCAAAGTACACCTAAAGCCATAAAATACAGTCCACAATGTGAGCAACACCGTTGTTTACAAAATGGTAACAAGAAAAAATAAAATAGAATACAGCACAAATACACTTACATTTTATGAATCATAAAATTCTTGTAAATTATAAAAACATTTTTCAATCAAATAATTCTTCAGCAAGTTACTGAATTTATTGAGCTTCGTTGTATCTTTCAAACACCTAGGGAGCTTATTGAAAATAGTAAGACCTACCACTGATGGACAGTTTAAAGTTGTTTTATATTGACGAAACGGAACATGCAGATCACGTTTTCGTCTTGTGTTCACATTGTGTATACTCTCATTTGAAGGAAATCTATGCTTGTTTTTGAAAACGTAGATTGACAATTCAATAGGAACTCCTGCTACTATACGGATATTTCTTTTTTGTACAATAAATACATCTGATGCTAGTGTAGAGTTACCCTACACACATATACCATATCTCAACCTTGACGCAACTTGAGCATGATATAATGATAATAATTGTTGTTCTGTCAAAATGTTTCTGAGGTTTCTGAAAAGGTAACACAATGAATTCAGTTTGTTCATCACGAGGGTGCAGTGTTTTTTCCAATTTAGACAAGCATCCATGGTGATTCCTAGAAATGTTGTATAATCTGAACTGTTGAGTATTTGATCGTTTATTTGAATTTGTACTTCTTCGCACAGTCTTTGACGATTGTGGAATCTCACCAGCTGTGTTTTGTCAGCATTGAGGTACAATGAATTGGTTCCACACCAATTTACAACTGACTTCAGAGTACTTTCACACTTCTCAAACAGAAGGTGATCTGATTTATTAGATACCACCAGGGATGTGTCATCAGCATACATCGTTATGAAAGAATCTGTAATGAGGTTATCGATGTCATTTATATAAAGAAGGAATAAAATTGGCCCTAGCACAGATCCTTGTGGTACACCCATCGTGACGTCCAAGCGTTCAGAATCAAAAGTAGTAGTGGTAGACTCACTATGATATTTCAAGCTAACAAACTGTTGCCTATTCATCAGGAAAGATAGGGCCCAGTCATAGGCAACACCTCGTATACCATACGAATAGAGCTTTGACATGAGTTGATATTGATTGACACAGTCGAATGCCCTACTGAGGTCGCAGAATATGCCAATAGGACATTCTCCTGATTCCAAAAACATTGTTACTGTTTCAATAAATGAAACTATTGCAGTGTTTGTGGATTTGTTTGTGCGAAAACCATGTTGTTTATCTGAGAATATTCGATGTTTTTCTAAGAATTTCAGTAGCCTATCTAAGTAAGAGTACTCAAAAATCTTCGAAAAACCCGAACTCATTGTAATCGGCCTATAGTTCTCCAATTTTTCTGAATCCTGCTTTTTAGAAATTGGGATAACTTTACCGATTTTCAAAATTTTCGGAAATGACCCAGTCAGAAATGACAGGTTGACAAGAAAGGTCACTGGAATTATAATGAAGGAAAGAGATTTTTTGATGAGAAATAATGGAACTTCATCAGGGCCGGATGAGTATTTATTTTTCATTTTGTTGCTGAGCAAAGCAAGTAATTCTTCTGGTATAAAAGGTTCTAAGAAAATGGAATGCGGATTTGTATCTATGTGACGGTAATTGAGTTCACCGTCTACTTTTATTTTGTTGATAATTCCTGAAGGGGAATCGATGAAAAAATTATTGAATAAATTTGATAAAACACCTGGGTTTTCTTGTAAAGTGTCGTCTTTCATTATTTGAATATTTTTTGTGATTCCCTTCCTATTTGAGAGTTCGGATATCACTTTCCATGCTGTTCTACTAGGATTAGAGGAATCTGTAATTCGTATGTGCGCACTAACTGCTAAGTTTCGTATGGGCAGAGTAGTGTATTTTCATTATTCATATACAGTGTGTCCCTGCTAAAACTTGTCACCCGCGAATCTCCGATTTCGTTAAAAAAATTTAAAATCGCTCGGACAAGTTAGTATATTTCAATTTGGCGGGGTACACATTTTTCTGCAATCATCATATTCCATAGTTGAAATGCAGAATTATGAGCCACCCTGTATTCGTTTAAATTAAATATCAGTAGATAGTTAATCAAAAGTTAAGATAGGGACATAAAAGCCGTTTTGACCGATAATGAATAAAAAAATCCTCAAGTTAAAAAAATCTCGATTTTGAACACCCTATATCTCTGTAATCATTCCCGCTAGACATCAAATGTGATGCATTGATGAAAGCGGCTCTTCAGGAAGAATCTAAAAATACAATGAAATACAGGGTGTTCCATTTGAAAATTGAGAGTTGATGCCAGTTACGCTTCAAGATTTCAACGACCTGTCCGAACGATTATCAATTTTTTTAACGACATCGGAGATTAGGGGGGTGACAAGTTTTATCTGGGACACACTGTATGATAGTTGAATGAGAAAATATTTGAAAACCATAAGTGATATTATCGAAAGCATATTGTTTTTTTTTCTACTTTCTTGACCATAAAATTTCAAGCAGAACTTGTATCAACAAAGATAATGATTAACATCTTATTTAGAAAAAAAGTGACACTAGTGCGTTGAAAAAGTAGTAAAGACGACTGAAATACTTCAATTTTCAATTGAATATTCATCTCTTGAATTCATATATCAGGATATACGGGGTGTCCGGAAAATATGCGCAAAAAATCAAGGGGGTGATTCTGCATGAGAAAACATGACATTCATTTTATATATACTTGAGTCCGAAAATGCATAGTTTTCAAGATACAGTGTGTTAAACTTTTTAGAAAAAATCGTTTTTTTATGAATATCTCGAATATTCTTCCACCAATTCTCTTGAAATTTGGTTATGATATTCTTTGTCATGAGGGGCTGATTTAGCCATTTTTAAATTAGAATTGTGAAATCCAGTGGCGTCCCGGAGGCACCCTACCGAATATTTTTGTCAATAAAATGTGCGCCCCTGATTTTTTTTAATTCGCTATCTCCATAGATGATTAACTAAAAATACAAAATTTTAGTATCTTGAATTGTTTTGCAATTTTGCTGCGTTTCCGTGGAAAAAAGTGAATACCAATTCATTGTATAAATTTGTGCAAAACATTGCTTCACAAACAGGGGTGAAATCAAATGTGTTATCCATGTCCATAGACGTAGAATAAGAATTGAGATTCATTTTCTTCAAATATTTTATAATACATGTTTGACACACTTCGTATTATCGAAAACTACGCCTTCCTGGACCGAGAATACATATTTCTCAATATACAGAGTGTAGAGTGTGTCAAACATGTATCAAGGAATATTTGAAGAAAATTAATCTTCATACTTATTCTCTATCTATGGACATTGATGCCGCATTTATTTTCACCTCAGTTTTTGAAAGAATTTTTTGGCACAAATTTATGCAATAAATTGGTAATTATTTTTTTCCATGGAAATGAAGCAAATTATCAAAATAATTCAGGAAACCAAAATGTTGTATTTTTAGTTGGTCAATAGGTTATGAAGATACAGAATTCAAAAAAATCAGTGGCGCACATTTTATTGTCAATAATATTCGGTAAAGTGCCCCCCGGGACGCCACTGGATCTCATAATTACAATTCAATCATGGCTATATAAGCCTCTTATGACGAAGAATATCATTGCCAAATTTCAAGAGAATTGGTAGAAGGCTATTTGAGATATTCATAAAAAACCGATCTTGTAAAAAAGTTTCAACACACTGTATGTTGAAAACTATGCATTTCCGGACCCACGTACATATAAAAAGAATTCCTTATTTTATCATGTAGAATCACCCGCTTGATTTTTCGGGCATAATTTCCGGACACCCTGTATTCAGGATATCATGAAATGAACCTTTTGACACGTCTATTGTGAAACTTTATTATAGCTTTATCAGTCTTGCATTACCTCACTTTTTCTGGAACAAAATTATTCCATATCTTTTCTATCATCTCCGGTTGCCAGTCTGACAACATGTAGTTTGCACATAAAATATTTTCCATTGGATATTCCTAAAAGAAATTTTACTCAAATAATAATTATTAATCATAAAACCCAAGATTTATAGCTTCATTTTCGTTTGGGATCTTGTCGAGATATTATGAAACCTCAAACATACAATAGTTATTTAACCAACTAGTGCATTCTCGAACATTAATAATTAAAATATCTCGATCATTTATCGTCTTTTAATATACAAGTTGATGGTTACAAAATTTTTCCGTCGACTATATTTCTCATTTCTCCTGCAATGAAGAAAACTTGGTTCGCGAATTCATCATTCATCTGGAAACTGCTAAGAATCACCCAGTAGCCTTGTCACTGACATTAGTGACATTTGACATTTGTCGAAATGATCAACATAGAAAATAAATTCCTTGAGTTAGAAAACAGGGATTATAGTTATTTATGTATTAAGGGAATTATGAGGGCCTTAATTACCGATGGCAAAGTTTGCGTCCCGAGGGCCTCTGGCCCGAGGGACAGCAATTGCCAGAGGTTATTAAGGCTCTATAATTCCCGTGGTACATAGATAATTTTATTTCTGACTGATTTCATTCATTAGATACCTTCCCGATTGGAAGTTAGACATGTTTTTCCGTATAGTTTCAATGTCATCAGAACGTCAGATGATGATCTTGACTACCGCGAATAGGAGATTCCTTATTGCTACGTTATTGCGTGGTTGTTGCTATGCATTTCTTATTTAATTTTAGCTAGAGGGAATTATAGCATCGATAACATCCCAAGGGAGTTATGACCCTCATTATAGATATCGTAACTATGACGATATAAGCTTATAATGTCACTGTCAGAAATAAAAATAATAATATAGGTAATTATAATAATGAATGTCAACAAATTTTTCTGTAGGTTATGAAATGTATCAGTAGATCAGTATAACTGGCAACCCTGCAGCAGACGAGAAGTGTTTGCCTTCGGAAATAGTCGGTATTTTGTTCGGAAATGAAAACGTGAAATGTGATTTTTTTGTAGAGGTCGACGGTTTACATACCTGTAAACTATGGACCAAGCTGGATATGTAATTTCTAGGCGATTCCTTATCTTTGAATCTGAACACCATCTGTCCGATGTTTTTATTCTCGTCCTGGACCCACTTCAGAGGGCCCTCTTGTTTCAACATGTTTAAATACTAAAAAAAGGGCACCTAAATAAAGCGTTCATCTCGCCAGCCCCCCCCCCTCCCCAATCATGAGCGAGTTGTCAAATTGAGTTTGGGAAAGTTTCACAAAAAAACGTATCATGATCAATTTTTTTTTCCAACTTTGAACTAGAGATTTCCTAATTCAAACTAAGAATTTATAACATAAAATTTCGATATTGTAGTCGGAATTTCCAAGTATAATCGTAAGATCACATCTCACTTCAGAAAAAAATGTATAAAAGAGGAACTTGGCTCCTCCGCCATTCCAATGACTTACCTTCTAAAAATCCACATTCACACAGGCTTAAAATACGATTCCCTGGGCCAGTACGACGTTGCCGACATCATCAATATGTCTAGATCTCCGGAAATTGTTCTTTGAATGCATAATAACTATATCATAACAGCAATGGGATAATCCTACTTTGTCAAGTATTAAGAATAATTCCTATAAATCTCTCATTGGCTGAATTAACTTGTCAGTCATTTTTATGCAAATGGATTCGTTCCTTAATAAAATAGATCTATTTTCTAGGAAAGTTGCAGATTACATTTTGCAACAGCGCCTAATACTTCGAGTCCGTCCACAACACTCAAAATACTGACAGGCACAACAAGAGGAAGGAATCATGGGTGTCGGCTTCATCCTGTTCTGACCCATGACAGTAAATTAGGAAAGATAGTATCATCGCCTGTAGTCGATACTGATTCATTGATTCAATGACATTTTCGTTTAGGATCGAGCTCTATTCGAAATATTTCAATGCATAAATAACAAAACCATGACCTGTCAGAATGAAGCCAATTACCTCCTGCATTCCTGCTCCGAGTGCATTTGTGGTTATTTATGTTTTTGTTCGCCCTCAGGGGCTCACGACTTGAGTATGGAAATGGCAATCCCGAGGTACCCAAGCCGGATACTCATTAATCTTCAACTTGTCTTTGATGGTATCCTCTTCACTCTTCAGTTTCCAATCTTTTTCTTCATCGGCCTCCCTTGGTCACTTCTCCTCTTTTCCTTCTCCCCTAAAGCCCAACCTCACCATAGTGCGGGGAGGACAAGCCGCGGCTGCTCGGCAGATTGAGCATTTTGGGAACATATTTGCTGTCATCACTCAGATGGGACAGTTTTGTGGACATCTGAGTGCGAGGATGGGGCAATTTGTGAACATTTGCTTATGTGGCCGCGGATTGATAACGAGGCTCTGGCAATCCCCTCAGGGGCTCACAACTTCTGAGTACGGGAATGGTGAACTCGAGATACCCTAGCCGGATATTCACCATACTTCAACTTGTCTTGGGTGATATCCTCTTCTCTCTTCCGTTTTCAATCTCTCTATCGACCTTTCTTGGCCAACTTCTCTTTTCCTCTTCACCTCCAAGCCCAACCTCACCATCAAGTGGTGTGGGGAAGGCAGGCCGCGGCGGCTTGACAGATGAAGCATTTTGGGACCATCTTTGCTATCTTCTGCTAGATGGGACACTTTGTGGACATCTGTGGCAGGGATCGGGCGATTTGCTGATGTCTGTCTAGGTGGTCGAGGACTGATCAACGAGGCTCTGGCAACCTAATCCAAGCTGTGGGAACCCGTGGCGATGGGTGGATGGCACCGAGGAATGGTGTCGCTAACGGGGCCTCTGGGAAACAGGGCGACATCTCAGAGTAAGTAGCCTTAGCCCTGTGCAGAGGGCACCACAGGGCTGGACCAACCCCTTTTCCCATCACTCGTAGAAGAAGGAAAACTTTTGGCCTTCTTCGTAGACGAGAACAGGGATCGGAAGAGTAATCTTCAGGAACCTGAACGAAAAGGGTCTTTCATATTGAAGTGGCCCTTAATAGGCACCATGAGTCGTATGTGGTAAAATTGATAACGGCATGTAGGTGAGATACAATGGGCCACTAGGCCTAAGTGTCGTCGGAGCCTACAACGGGGTGGAGTGTTTAGTGGGTATACCATGGAGGGGACTCCCACACTATCATATGGGGGATTAGACCCATATGATGTCTATAAAAGATTTCAACCACCTCGGCGAAAAAAAAAGTCTTTGTTCACGTTGTATAAGCCTAAGCATACAGTGTAAAATGGGAGAACGTCACTTGTCACCAAATAATATAAATAAATGGTGGAGGAGCTAAGTTTCTCATGTATTTATTTTCTTCTGAATTGAAATTTGATCTTACGAAAAAAAGAAAAAATATTTATATTAATTTTTTACAAACTTCACAGTGAGATAAGAAACTCAATATAACTTCCCCATTAATATGTACCCCGCTAATAACCCTTGAGGTTGATGTGGATATTTCTATGATAAAAAAAACGGATTCGAGCATTTCAACATACCTGAAACACCAATTTGACGATATCGTCCACGTGATTGATTCCCTCCTCGGTCAAATCGACTGCGATCCCGAAGAAGCCGAACCCTCGAGGGGACGGCTTGCTTCCTGCCACTAGACTGTTGGACCACCCTCTAGCCTTGAGGACGGACAAAATGCTGCCGGGGCCCTCGTGTCCCATCAGGTGGCTGATGTAGTGACCAGGCTAAAAATAAATCCAAAAAAATTTTCAATCTTTATCAACATATTATACTTTTTTTTTGGATGTTTGATAAATTGATATTCATCATACAGGACCTGGAAAGAAATTCTGGAGTGAGAAAACCTAATCACGAATCTGCGATTGAGGTCTATGAAAAAACAAGTTTCCATCGTTCAAGTTTGAACCCCTTGATTGGAAGAAAGTATCGAGAAGGAATATTCTCAGATATATTTATGAACACAAAAAAATGTATACACATAAGAACCGACATAGAGCAGGGGCATGTAGGGGGTCCCAGAATATGGCAATTTAACGCAACTTACCTCTATACCAAGTTGCTTCCCTATGGAGATAATATAGGCTTTGAAAGTGAAGTTATAAATTTTGAAAAAAATCAATATCTTCGTTATTCTTGAACTTAAAGCAACCAAATTTGGTACACTTCGTGGATGTATTCAGGGCGTTACTTGACAGTAACTAGAGTTTAATTGAAATTTGTAAAAGGGGTATACCGGGTGGCGCACCATCAATATTCAATATAATTTTGTTATCCCTTGATGGATTTCAAAAATCTTTGCTTTGTCTTGTGGGCAATTCAATTCTAAAACTTTTCTTACTCTAGTAATTTTTCTAAAAACCCCATCATTTTCATCAAAAACTCGAATAACTGAAAACGCGCGCTCTAGGTGTGTTATTTAAAATCATTGAAAATTCAAAAGTTGGCTATGAAAATAAACGTCGAACTTGACAATGAGGCAAGTGAGCTGTTCAATTAAGTAATTGTTGTTTGAGTGTTTTCAAAATGAACGGGAAGTTTTCTTTTAACGAGCAAGTTGACATGCTGTTAGTGCTATGCCTATAACTCCTTAAGGAAGTAACTTGGTATAGAGGTAAGTTGCGTTGAATTGCCATATTTTGGGACCCCCTACATGCCCCCGCCCTATGTCGGTTGTTATGTGAATCACCCTGTATACACTATGTCCAAGATAAGGATGTCTATCATGGGGATCTCGGAAACCATAAGAGATACGAAGATGGTTAAATAAAAGAGAAGTTGCGCATTTTTGAGCCTAACAATATGACGTTTGAACATTTTCAAAATGCCGAGTATTTCCGGAGATATGCCTGAAAAACCGAAATATGCCGATTTCGTTTTAATTTTTTTCTGACGTTGTTTGAAGATTGATAGGAAAACGAGAGACACTTCCTCATTGCCACTTTTTGAGTTCTACAAAACAGCGTTGAGAGATTCTCCGTACGACGTTTCGTTTCGGAGAAACCATCATCACTTTATTTTTTTATATGGCCCGTAAAAAAAAGTATACCCTGTATTAAATAGCATATTTGATTACGAATACAACGATGTACGACACATTATGATTCTGCAATATTTGAATCAGAAAAAATGGGTTTTATTATTATTTCGAACGCTTTGGTGTAGTAGGCGGTGAAATGAAATATAAAATGAATAATTTTATCGACATATTATTGACACATAGTGTTTTTGAACAGCCGGAAGTGCCACAATCTTCAAAATATTTTAGCCGGATAGCACTTATCAACAATAGTGAACTACCAAATTTTCAAATTCGGCTCAGCTATGGTTTTCTATATATTGATCGATGCAGTTCCCGGAAGGACACCCTGTATATATATACATTTTTTTATGTTCATAAATATATCTGAGAATATTCCTTTTCAATATTATACAATAACGAATTCAACGATATAATTAAATAATCAAAGTGAAAAAACTTAAAAAAAGCTTTCATTCAAACGCTCTGAAAATACTTCATCAACTATCATCTTATAACCTAACTAGCAGACCTCTAAAACGTTGTTTTGTTTAGTTTCGCTTTCTATAAAAGCATTCTTCTTTAGTTTTTCAAACTACCATTTATTTCAACTACTTTGAATTTCCCAATTTTGACGAAAGAATCATAATATCCGACTCCTAAAACCCAAAATGGAAGTTTTGAATAGAATCGGAACATAATTACAAAACTCGTCCGCAATATTGGATCTACCATCTTGAATTCCCTAATTATTTGACGAAGGAATCATAATTTTTGATCCCGAAAACGCCCACTTACAAATTTTGAATAGAATCGGTATATAATTACAAAACTCGTCGGTATATTGGTTCCACCGTCTTTAATTTCCAAATCCCGCCCTCCCCAATTTTTGTCAAAAGAATCATAATCTCCGACCCCGAGAACCACCAGATACCAAATTTGAATAGAATTGAATCTAAATTACAAAATCCGCCATTTTGGATCCGCCATGTTGAATTTTTTAATTTTAACGAAGGAACCATGATCCCCGATCACGAAAACCCCTAGGTACCAATTTTGGAAAGAATCAGATTATAATTACAAAACTCGTCCGCCATATTGGTTCCGCCATCTTGAATTTCCAAATTCCGCCCGAATTTTCAAATTCTGACGAAAGAATCATAATCTCCGACCCCAAAAACCTCCAGATACCAATTTTGAATAGAATTGGACCAAAATTACAAAACTCCCCAGCAAACACATCTGTTATATTTACATCACTGTTATATAATATCAACGGAACTTTTTTATATAGAATATTTACGTAAATATTCCATAATTCTTCTGAAATATGTGAACCTCCTATTTATATAAAATATTTACGTAAATATTCCGTAACAATTCTGAAATATGTGAACCCCATAGTTATATAAAAATGTAACGTAACTATGATGTAAATGATATGTGACAATTTGATATCAATATAAAAGCTTATATGATAGCTACATGACTTTACTAGGACTATCGGCCGTAAATTCTCTGCAGACTTGATTCTGCGTCAGTTAAGGATATTCGTTGGGATTAATTGGGATGATCAGTACCCGTGGTCTCGCGCTGAAATGTTCCCCCACCGCGATGATTATTATTTTTCGCTCTCGCACTGTAGCGTTTCTCCGTGACCACTCTGAGGTTATAAGTAATGAGTGAAGACTTGGAGACTGAAAGCATTTTCAGTATTTTCTCACTATTCCGAGTGATTTTCTTATTTCCACCAATTTTCTGCGCTGCAGTGGTCCCCCATCCCACATGACCAATTCCTATTGGTCGACTACTTTGAGGTTATGAGTTATAATTATAAGTGAAGACGAGACCATAAACAAACTACACTGACGGCATTTTCGGTATTTTATAACTATTTCGAGTGTTTTTCTTGTTTCTACCTGCTGTGTTTGATGAATTAAACTAAACTAAATAAGTGGAGACTGGAGGTGAGTGAGAATAAAACATGCCTTGAGATTTTCCTAACCTCTGTGAAAACAACAAGAAAGAAATAGTTACATATCTATCCTGGACCTCTTAAATATGCCTAGAATAAATGATGAATCTGGTAGGTATTGATAGAATCCGAGGTATAATCTGGTCAAACTCCAATTCTCATATGAAATTGAACAGAAGCCAGTGATTGATTATGATGGCTGATGAAAACCCCAGTGAAAACCCCAAAGTGCCTCACATTCTGGATTAAAGTTATTATTATTGGTTATGGAAATTCAATCATTTTGTCAGTGATTATTATTTTTTGTTTCATAAATAAGTTCATGAAGAACCAATAAGATGAATCCTGAAATGTATACTTTTGCAGGTAGGTACATCTTCTCAAAACTCAAGGTGGTAGAGATGGGAGAGACTATCTGTATAGGGGCCACACAATGTTTCTGGTAAAGGCAGAGGGGAAACATTGAAGTCAGACATTTGAAATCAATCAAAATATCATTATCTGGTAATATATATTTCAGATTGTAATTTGAAAAATGAAAAACAAAGCAATATTTTTTCAGAATCCATCATTATCAAACACCCTTCGATATCTTACTCTGATAGATAAACCAGCAGAAGGTGGTTCTGATTTAGTCACCAGAGGTTAAATGGAGGGTTGGATTGGGAGATCAAGAAGAAAGATATAATTTGATTACTCACAATTTTGATTTTTTGAACTTTTGAAGTATACATAAATGGTCTCACTATTTCCGAAGAAAAATAAAGGTCATGTTTTTCATTTGATAGTTGATGTTGTTTTATCATCTTCTATTCAGGACATTCCATTTTATTCGATTTGAACATAATTCAGTCTATAATTTTTTGACAATATTTTTGTTTTAAAGTTAGCAACTGATCAATTATACTGTGTACTATAATGCATAATATTTGGAACAGAAAGTCTTAAAAATTTTCGAGCAGAGTTTTTTTGTACATGAGGAGAATTGAAGTGAATACTGAATGATATAGGAGATAATAAACCATCAAGCATTTTATGACTAATCTGTCTCTGTTACATTTTCCCACACAATCAAAAATTGCCAAATAACTTCTTTTTCACACTAGCCCACTTCCAACTCCCATGCACATTTCTATAACCATATATCATCATCAGTAATATCAGTATAGATATTATGGAGTGTAGAGTTTGGATCACCTACTGAGATGATTGTACTTAGTTATCAATATGTGCATATGCCTGTGAAGTGAAGAGGTTATTCGTGAAATTCCGATTTATATTAAAATGGAGTCATATTTGTAGCTGACATTTTTACATAAAAGGGATGTAAATTTTACATAACATCTAGAGAATGTTATGTAATATTTATGTCAGTTTGTTATATACGTAACATCTTATTTATAGCAATGAAATTATATAAAATATATATAAAATAGTGACATAATTGTTACGTAATAATCATGTAGTATTTGTGGCGGACATTTCGCCATAACAGTGATGTAAGTCTTATATAACATAGTTACATAACACGTATTGTCAGTTATGTAACACTTATGTCAATTTTACATAATTGTGTTTGCTGGGTCGTTCGATATATTAGATCCGCCATCTTGAATTTCCGAATGGTACCGGGATAAGAAGTATCCTATAACCCTTTCCTGGTTCTAAGCTACCTCAACACCAATTTTCAGCCACACAGTTTGGTGTAACGGAATTGAGAGATCTTGGTCTCA